TCTCTCAAGCTCTATCTCTGTTCTTCAACCATTCTGAGCCTGCTTCTTCCTGTACTGCATCCTGCAAATGAGTTCTCTGCTTGCTCCTTTGTACGGTCTGCACTTCCAAAGTCACTTTGCTCCTATTTCCTCCCTCATGGGAGCTTTTTACATGCCCAGACTTTTTTCTCCTTTTCAGCACCACTACTAAGAGCCTGAAGCTGCAGGTTTGCTATCCAGCAGCAGTCTGGTCAAGAATACAAACTCAGGGGAAAAAAAAAACATTAGACATAGGATATTTGCAAATAAACTTGTATTTTCTAACTGTTCTGAAAATTTCTTTCTTATTGATCTTCTTTATTCAGATCCACTGTGGCCTTCAGAGTTTTCCCAGTGAGGCCCAGAGCCAACAGGTGTCACTAAAAGGCATTTGTGTGCTAACCAGCAAGAGGTCCAGCCACGCTGACATTTTACACAACTTTCCTAAGCATAGCCGTGTTCTGATCTGTTGTAAAAGGGCTTCCAAAATAATGCATGAAACAACCAAGCCTCCTTGCAAAAGTCTCTCCTCTTCAAAAGGAAACTCTCCATCTCAGAACTGGTACCAGGTGCTCATCCTTCCATCCTTGCAGCACACAACTGAGCTTCTCTCACTGGCTGTCAGCTTTCCCGTTACAACAGCGATCCTGTTTTCTTATCTGTGTTGCACTGAAGAATGGTATTAGCTTCCATAAATAACTAACGGCTGCTCACAAACAAAATTTATTTAACAGATGTCAAAACAAAGCACTGTTCATTGCGTCCCCGTTTTACTACACACTGCTGAAATGCATTTTATCTGCTGTAGATTTACCGAGGCTGTTTGGTGAACTTGCCAAGGGCCTCAAAACCCCTCCTCTCTCTCAAGAAGCGAACGCATCATGCATTTCTGAGGCATTACTGCAGTCACACGTGTACACCACGTTTCTGGGGCTGCACATGTCCCTAACTTTTAGTACGTAATCCTACTATGAATGTTTTCCACACACCGAGTATACACAGCAACACGTCAAAGAGTATGGTATGCGCACAAGGTAATTAAAGGCTACTGCCAGAAGACAACACGTCAAGCTCTGGCTACAGTTACTTGATCGGAGCTTTAATGTAATGAGAAGGTGTTGCAGCGTGAGTGACAGAAGGAAGATACCCAGCCACGTCTCAAAACCAAGCTTGATCAGTTTACAGAGGGGATTACAGGAGCTGGTGCCCGCAGTGGTCCACCAAAACGAGAAGACCTTTCCAGTCCTGCAAATATGCTTTCAACTTTTTCCAGCATGCACTCTCATTTTAGGCTGTTGAAAGGTACCTTCAGCATAAAGAAGTATATTATCATCTTTGCAAATGAAAAAAGCTTTAGAGAATTGATAAAAAAAAAAAAAACTGTTCCCCGCCTGATATAAACTATGTATTTGGGTGGTGGATAAATGCTCAGCTAGGAGACTCCAAATAATGCCTTGAATTTAAGTGTCTAGGGCTTTTATTCCTGAAATGTCATTGGGAAATAACATATGATATAAAAGAAAGATCAAGTTGTATTTACCAACATTTACCGCTGTTCCCAAGTCACAATTAATGGTCAGTATATTTAAGATCAAGATGATTACTCAGGAGTTAATTGAACATTTACATTTGATCTAAGCACAGAGGCCAGCGAACAGATTTTGTTATGCTTGTTAGTCCAACTAGAGAAGGCTGTAACGCATAGAAGATTACAGAGATTAAAAAAGGCTATTGAAAAACATTTACTATCCCTATCGTGAAGTGTTTCCATAGCAGCCGAAACAATTACTAAAACAGATACACCAAAAGGAAAGCAAAGAAATAATACAAAAGCAATCCACCTGAAAACAATTAGGAGGTTTGAAGAGTTGTATTTAACTTGTTCATTAAATTGGTCATTAAACATCACCCACTTTCTAATACATCACACAGACCTTTGCAACGACATCCACGGCAGCACAGAAATTTATGACAGCAAGGACACTGTTAGGAAGGAGCATTTATGACTGCGCTTTGACTTCTGTGGCTTCACGTCACAGAAAATGTAAAGTTTCCTACATCTGCTTTGCAGGATGGGGATTTCTACAGTAAAGTTTACCATTTGTAAATGGTAAACTTTTACCCCACTTAATTATACAAAACCAAGAACACGCTACATGTGTTCAGTTCCCTTCTACCCCAAATTTTATCATGGAGCACTGTTTTCAGTGGCATTAAAAAAAGAGCATAAATTCCTGCTACTCTGGACCGTCTCACTGAAGAGTCATCTTTCATAGCCTCCCTTTATGCTTTCACAAGACGCACTGAATTAAAAATCAGAAGCTCAATTTTCGGAAATGCCAACATCCACGTCTTAAAGACATCACAAATTTGGGATTTTTTTGGCCTCACCTTAGAGTCATCTGTGAACTTTTCCATTTAGGTATTAACTAGCAGACAGCAACATCATCACTGCGTAAATGCCAATGCTCCAATGCTCCTTCCCCATATATTTTTTTTTTTTAAATGTAAGAACACAGCGCTGTCTGCAACCTGTTCTTCTTTCATTGAAGTCTTGAGTCCTCGAGGAAAACAGGGGAAGGACTGTTCTAACAGCAGGGAGCAAGTGGCCTTCCATCTACCCACAGCCGAGTTACAAGATCTAACCAAACAGCAGCCCCCTATAGACGTGAACTCGCAACAAGAAACACCAAGTATGTTCTTGGTGGTGAAAAGCCACCCAGTGCTTTATTCTGTTTAGGGAGAACGCTTTCAAAGCACACCAGTGTTGCCTTAAGAGTGACTGAAGAGCCACTGCTCTGAAGCAATCCTTGAAATTTCGCGTGAGAAGCTGAGTGCAGGAACCATCCTGCAGGGTTAGCCGCAGAACAGCTTTTATGTTTACATTTGTATGGGAAGAGCCGGGGAGCAAACAAGCTCGGGAAAGGCGGAGAACACCCACAAGTGAAAGCGCACAGCATCTCAGGAGGGCAGGCTACCAGGTGGAGCGGTTTGAGGGCAGGGGAGGCCCTGTGCACGGGCAGTGGAAAAGAGCAAAGTGCAGATATCCCACGAGGAAGTGGGAGTGGAAATGCAGGGGAACGAGAAAGGCGACTCCGCTCACACTGCCTCTCTGCAGCCCGCAGGAGAAGGAGCTAAGGCAGGACTCGCAGGTGGCAGCAGATCCCTGCTTCTGTTTATACCAGGAGCAGCCACGAGCTCGCCAGCTGTACAGTTCCTAGCGCAGGTGGCAGAGAAGTGAATGTTAACCCGAAAGACAGTGCCTGCCTACACGGGCACGGTTTGTTTTCCCAGCAATGCCACCAGCCCCCACGCCGGAGCAGAACCTGATACACCTAGCCAGGACAAAAGTCCCAGGGTTTTAGTTTTACTTGAATACAAAACAGAAACAACAGAGCTTCTTCCTGCACGTACAGCTACGTTTTCAAGCAGTCACGTCTCGTGTCATTCCTCCATGCAAACACACAGACCCTGCAGTCTTTTACACACCTGAGAAACCTTTAAATTAATTCCTACAATGTTCCAGATAGCAACCTAAGAAGTGTTAGTTACAAAAGTATCACGTCCTAGTATCAGCCTGTTCCTTTTACAGCTGGAAAGGCAAGCAGGGTGTAGTGTTAACAGGTAGCAGAAAGAGCACATTTCACAGATGCCAGGATCTCCTGAAATAAGTGCTTGTGAGCGTGAGCAGCAGCACAGTGAGGTCCTCAGCAATTATCCACATACTTGACTTCTCGGGTAAGCTGTCTCCATGATGATGGAGAGACCACACTCACCCCCTTTCCAAAAAATTTGAGCCGAAACGGAGAAAAACAACCATGCGCTTTTTTTTTCCCCCCCGTGTTCAATTTCACAGAAAAGACACTATCCGGCTTGTTCAGCTTAACCAGTGCTGTACCACAGCTTCTGCGTATGAAAGCACGCTCTGCTTCAGGCCCTGATCCCATAACAACTGGTGCTTCAGAGCTCGGGGAAACATTACTGATCAACTTCTATAAATGGTGCAACGCCTCTTTCTGTTTTCCTGACTGTCAGTGTGGGTGTTACTTTCTATGAAAGAAAGGGAAGAAGCAGGAGGCACAGATATATAATTCAACAGGGCTGTTTTCAATCCTCAAGGCACTGCTAGCTGTTTCGCACCCCAGAGTCCTCCACCAGCCTAGGGATTTAGGATTTTTAGACAAAATAAACAACTTCTTACCCAGCCTTTGGATAAAGAACCACAACTACCAAGTGTGCATCTCGCTCCGACCCCACTGGCAGCCGGGGCTTAGTGTGGACATCACAACTCAAGCCAAGTGTGCCCCGTGTCTCCTGTGCTGGACCAAGCAGGTGCCTGCACACGTGTTCAATACTCAGGGACCACCATTACCTCATTTTGTGAGGTTTCAAACCCACGGGGTGCGTAGCAATAGCCGAACCCTGACAAATCAGGGCGAGTATAACCTTACACGAAGTATTTACCGAGCTTATCTACATAGACTTCTATAAGTATATCCTCGGCAGGCCGATAACATTCAAGCCCTTTCTAAAACAGGCTTGTGCTGAGATGTTCGAAGGACTACGGCACGTCGCGGAGGAGAGATGAGAAGAGGGGGGGAAAAACACGGGCACCTCCAGCACCTGGCAGCGAGAGATGTGGTCCGCGAGGGAAGGAGGGCTGAGCCTGAGGCGAGTATCTCTAGGTGGCTCTATTCGCATGCTCCCCGTTCACTTGTAAGAGTGTTACTCCATCTCTCCGCTGTCTTTTTTTTCTTGTTTTGCTGAATTCCGCGGTTCAGCCGGACGAGGCGAACACCCCCAGCTCACGCACTGCACGGCCGGCGCCCCGCACAACCCCAGAGGGCGATTTACCCCCCAGGTCCTCAGTTACTCGCAACTTCTCCCACCTCCCCCCGCAGCCCAGCCTTTACGGGCTGACACCCCGAGCCGGGGGGGACACCCCCTGCACACGGGGGGCTGCCGGGGGTCGCGCTACTCACCGGCAGCTCCACGCTGACCTCGGTGCCGTCCAGCAGCAGGACGCGGCACTGCAGCACCGGCTTGCAGCCACCGGCGGCGGGGATGTGCACGGGGGCTCCGGCTCCGTGCGAGCCCCCCGCGGGGTGCGGCGATGAGGGAAAACCTCCGGAGCCCGGAGCGGAGACACCGGCAGCAGCAGCGGCGGCGGCGGCTCCTCGCAGCCCCCCGTCCCGCTCGTCCCCCTCGAGCCCCCCGCGGCCGGCCCCTCGCCCGTAGCGCTGCATGGAGCGGCGGCCAAAGGTCCTGCGCAGGAACCGCAGCATCCTGGGGGCGCCCTGCCCGGCCGCTCACACCCCCGAGCCCGCAGCCCGGCGCCCGGCCCCGCGGCGGCGGCGGCGGCGCCTCCCTCGCACGGCGTCGCAGCAGCGCCGCCCGCCGGGGGCACGGAGCCGGGAGCCCGCTCCGCCCTCTGCAGGGCACGGCTGGGCTCGGTGCTGCTCCTCCTCCTCCTCCTCTCCTTCCTCCTCCTCCTGCTGCTGCTGCTGCGGGCAGGGGGAGCCGCTGAGGCAGGCGGCGAGCGGCCACCTGTGGCGGGCAAGGAGAAGGGAAGGAGGAGGGAGGAGGGGGACAGCGCCCGCCGCTGTCCCGCCTCAGCCCCACGCCCGGCTCCGCCGTCAGGGCAGCGGAGCGGAGCGGAGCCGAGCCGAGCCCTGCCCTGCCCAGCCGAGCCCAGCCGCCGCTCGCCCGGCAACTGCCCCGCCACAGCCCCGGGGGCGGCGCCTGCGCGATGGCTGCCCCTCGCCGCCGCCCCTGAGGGGAGGGAAGGAAGGGAAGGGGAAGGGGACAGGGCGGCGGGGCGGGGGCGGCCCCGGCTCACCTGCGGCCCCCGCGGGGCGCTGAGGGGAGCGAGGCTGGGAGGTGTGAGCTGACAGCTCCTCCTGCACCTGCTGCTGCTGCTGCCGCCCTTTCCGCAGGGAACAGCAGGGAAAGTGCCTGGTCCCTGGCTGCCGATGTGCACAGTCCGTAACAGACACTTACAATAAACGCCCCTTCCCTTCCCTTCCCTTCCCTTCCCTTCCCTTCCCTTCCCTTCCCTTCCCTTCCCTTCCCTTCCCTTCCCTTCCCTTCCCTTCCCTTCCCTTCCCTTCCCTTCCCTTCCCTTCCCTTCCCTTCCCTTCCCTTCCCTTCCCTTCCCTTCCCTTCCCTTCCCTTCCCTTCCCTTCCCTTCCCTTCCCTTCCCTCTGTGCTGACCTTAGGGTTCTTCCACTGCTTTGAACATTTTGTCCCACAAATCTCGTTTGCACGCCATAGACAACCCAAAGGATCTCGAGCACTGGCAGCTCAGCAGAAATGCTGTTGTCCCTTGAGGGAGCTGCAGCAGTGCCGGTGCAAAGGAAGGAGGGCTGGCATTGCTCAGGTCTGGCCTTGCAGGAAACTCGTCGAGGCTTCTGCAGTGCTAAAAGTCACAGGATCACAGAACCACCTAGATTGGAAGAGACCTCCAAGATCACTGAGTCCAACCTCTGACCTAGCACTAACCAGTCCTCCACTAAACCATATCCCTAAGCTCTACATCTAAACGTCTTTTAAAGACCTCCAGGGACGGTGACTCCACCACTTCCCTGGGCAGCCCCTTCCAATGTCTAACAACGCTCTCAGTAAAGAAGCTCTTCCTAACATCCAACCTAAACCTCCCCTGGCATGACTTTAGCCCGTTCCCCCTCGTCCTGTCACCAGGCACGTGGAAAAATAGACCAACCCCCACCTCGCTACAGCCTCCTTTAGAGTACCTGTAGGGTGTGATAAGGTTGTGAGACTTCAGCCCTTTGTCTCTTTCAACATTTGTGATGAAAACAGAAGTTTGCTGTTTTGAAATACATAAAACCTTGGTTGACTTGCATTAGCAGCAGACATGACACAGGCCAGTGGCAGCCCTGGAGAGTCAACGCTGTATTTACAGCCATGGGTGGAGATGCTGAGATCCCATTAAATCTCCCATTAAGCATTAGGAGATAAAACTCATAGTAAAGGATCTTTGGAAAGAGCTGGGAGGAAATAAAGTTATTTCCATGTTACCCATCCTCACTTGGAGTAAAACAACCTACCATTATTTTCTATCGTGTTACCAGCAGAGCTAACTTTAGCTGTGAAAAAAAGAGCCTTGAATGATTGCAGGTACTGAGCACAACACATTTATTGTAAGACAACAGGTGTTTAAACAAGCATTTGCATTCTAGTTTGTCTTTTTACAGCCCGCTTGTCTACATCATCGCTTCATTTTCAGCTGGGCAAGCCCTAAAGTGGTGTGGTTTGCTGCTACATCTGTCCTGCCATCCCTCCTCAGAGCAACTGCTGCTTGCTCGCTTTCCAATGAGAGACACAAGCAGAAACTTGTGGATCCTTCTCTGGTCCTTGGCCATGCTGTAGTTACGTGCACTGCTTTTAAATTTTTGTCCAAATAACCCTTCACTGCAACATCTGCCTCCCACAGAGATTTCCAGTCTCTCCTGGTAGTCACGATCCGATCCCTGTCACGGAAAGGTAATGACCTAGGTGAACTATTTGTACTAATTCGTATGGCAGTTCTGGCAGCATCCCCTGCAATTAACCAGCCTTATCAATATTTTTGCCATTATGCTAGGCCACGTGTGACTGGGAGAGTATTCATCAAAACCCTCACTGGCATTTGTGTACTGGCAGCAAGATGAGGGATCTGTGACCATTGGTGACACCTGCTAGCCATGGCTCAATACCTAAAGGAAAAAAGATGCAGTGTTGTAAGCACTTGATTCTGGCCCTTTCATTCAGATTTCTGGTTTTGTTCAAATATTTTCTGACTGCTTTTTAAAATCTTCTTAACAGAGGCAGCCACTTAATGGGGATGGTGAGCACAGTCCCATGGAATGAGTTCTCCTGCAGTGGGTACGTGTGCTCTGTCTCGAAACTAGAGAGCTCTTGCTCATTTTACCTTCTGCTACTGCAGTCACGTTTGTAGGTTTTTCCTGGCCTGCCAGACTTTAACCATCTGCAAGGGAGTGCTCTAAATTTAATTTGTGTGCAGCTAGAGTTTCTCTTTCTTTGGTTTTGAATAAATGTTACATTTTTACTAACTTAAACAGGCTTCTATTTTGCAAGTTTCTGCCTGAATATATTTTGTTACAGTCATTATTAAAGGAAACTTGCATAAAAGGACGCAAACAAAGTGCAAGTATTGCTGTAAACTTATATGTCTATGTTAATAAAACTAGGGGAAAAGAAACTTGAGAGGGTGTGACATACATTTACTTAGACTTTCAGATATTAATTTGTTTTCTAAATGTATACATTAAATGAAATTATTTTGTCAAAAAAAATATTAAAAGGGATACCTTTCAGCATGAACATGCAGTGGATTATGACATTCATGTAGCACGTGGCAGTCATGTTTGCTTTCTCTAAAAGCAGGTCAGCTGTTTGAGCAAACCTAATTTCACCATCATTCAGGAATGCTCTAGATACAGATACAAATAAAGAATAAAATGCAAAGGTAATTCTGAGCTACATGGCTAAGGATAATTTGCATTTATATGCTATCTTTCAGCTAGAGAAATCCCAACACAGTTCCAGGAAGGAAAAAAAAAAAAAAAAAAAAAGGAAAGAAAGAAAATTATACGTAGAACTATTTCACCAAGCCTGAAATGCAGCAGCTGTTTAACAGCAGAGAAAAACACCAAGAATCTCCCATACAATTGTAATGGAAATACAATTTTACATAGGCAGAAAGTTATTATGCAAATCATATAGCCATGATGCCAGGGCTAGTAGACTGTATTCCCGCAAGAGGTACCACATGGTCATAGATAGTCAGGGCTTTCCTTGATAATATATCAACCATCTCCTCCAAGTGTTACAAAAGAACCACATAAGGGAATAAATTCAAATTTCCCCATTTGGAATAATGTTACAGTATACACACTGTGTACAGTGTTACATTAGGCATGCATTTCAGCATTTATTGCTGTTCTTGTAATCCATATATTCCGAGGAAAAAATCCTTTTTCCTGTCACAATAAATAAAAAAGCAACTCATTCCAGAATAAGTGCATCTATGTAAAGAGCTGTTGCAGCATATCCAGGGACATTTGTAAAGATGTAAGAGCAAAAATTTTTCCTTAGAATATCTACAGAAAGAAAATGCAGTGCCTCCCATCTGTCTACTAAGCAGGTTCAATATTACTTACTAAGCCCTACTCCAGACGCACCCTTTTCCTTTAGTGAGTATTTTATCAGGTTTGTATTGACCTGAGGTCATAGAAAATATTTATATTCAAAACTAGGTTTAAAGCATGAAAGAAAAAGTTTTCAATGCTATGTTAAATCACAGAGGTATCAGATGTGCAGCTGAAAAGAGTAATAATAAAAAAGAGAGTCATCTTTCCAGGGATTAACAGTTTTTATTTTACTCTTAGGGGAGCCATGAAGATATCACTCAGAATATTACCTATAAACAAACATCATATGTTGAAACACTAATGTCTCCTTGAAATATTTTTAACCACAATTATCAACTATGTCTTTTAATTATATCAACACTGAAAGAGATACCCATGGCTTGCAAGAATTAATATCTAAATTTTTCAACAAGGATCCTTTGACTGACATAGAAATGCTGAATGTTACTTTGCTTAGTTGTGATGGGGCAATGAATCCGCTGTGAAAACCACTGGAGACCTTCAATATGTGTTGAAAATCATCCTAGAAATAAAACAAAGGTAAAGGTTATAATGAGTAAGCATCACATTAGATTTAGGTAATTAAAAGAAGCTTAAGTCAGATGCTTGAGAGTTTTTTCTCCACAGGCAGGACACTTGGCTGGCAGCAGAAAGCATATCATCTCTTCACGTGGAGACTCGGGCTCTTCATCTCTTGGACTGTTTCAGAGAGACAGAGAACAAAGGGGCAGAAAGGACAGGGCAGTTGCCAGAGGAGGAACCTGCTGGAGGCAAATTAGTCAATAAATGGAAAACAGAGGGAAGAACAGTAAGTAGTGCTAAGAGAATGATAACAAGAAAGCAGAAAGAAAAAGTCAGGACTGAAGGACAGAAACATCGGTGCTGATAGTTTAAATTTTAACACACAACCAAAACAAAATTTTTATTTCAAATTTTTAAACTTACATTAGTTACCACAGATTTTCCTGAGCTGTCCAGGGATGTGGAGCCAAAATGTTGAATTATTACAAAGGTGCTTCACAAAGTAGAAGGCATTCTGTCACTCTTGGTTTATATTAAGTGCATTCTCCTAGATAGCAAACAGCTCATTTTAGAATGCTTAAAATATATTAATTAAAATGTATCCTATATCTGTCTGATAACCCGAGTATAAAATGAAGTAAATAACACGATCAACTTCCCACTGAACAAGTATCTGCACCACGAGGGAAACCTGCATTGATGTTCAAAAGAGGAAAGTCTAACAAGGACTGAATCACTGATTCAGCCCATGGCTTTTCATTTCTGTCGTGTGGCATACTGATGGGGAAGCACACAGTCCTCTCCCGCGTGTATATCAGCTTTAGATTCTGAGGGTGATTGTAAGACACTAATCCAAGTTTATTTTACAGTGAAACTATCCTCAGTAGGATTGGAGAGCAGTATCTCTTTTTAATATACGACCCGGAGGGGAAAAATATTTTCAAGATGTTAAATGACTTAACAGCTACTTGATCACTTTAGCTTTCTGACAGCTGTTTTCCTACAATGATATATATATATAGATTTAATAAAAAGCACAGCTCCAGCTGAAGGAAATCTTTTCTGAATCCTTCTTTTCTCCTTCCTTTCCCTTCCCTCATCACATATTGATGTGTGCCTATAATGTCAAAAGAAGTTGCTTCTTGCCCAGCTTTTTCCTGTTCCCACCACCCCATGTGCACAATGTCCCATATCTTCTTGCCATGAAGGCATCAGGATGCCCTCGTGTTCTTCCAAGCCTGTTTTCTTTCTCTTGTCAGATAAAATCATTTTGGTTTAACAGCACTTTATTCTCTTTAGCCCCTCTGTCAGTTGATGGCAATATAAAGCAAAGAGGTGCTTAGACCACAGAAACAACCATGATGCTGCTGAGGGTAGGGAAGAATTCTGTTCACAGGAATTCTTGTGAAAGAATTCCTGTGAACAGAAATTCACAGGAAGGGTCTCGTCCTTATCCTAAGAGCTGCCTGTGCTAGTGGCAACTGACCAGGTAGAGTCAATGGGCAAAACTTTTGGCAGGTTTGCAGAAGTCCTTTCCAAAAATAAAAAAATAAAAATAAGGCAATGTAGACAGGCTGAAGCATGGAGAAGGATCAGAAAGCTCCTCCTTACATTACTGGAAGAAAATTTGTATTGTATAAATTTCAAACAAAAGCAGCGAGTCCCAAGCACACAGAGAAAATAATTTATTTTTCTCATCTCTCAAAAGTCAGTGATGCAGAAAGATGTATTTTCTCCAAAAAACAAACAAACAAACAAACATGGAAAGGTATTTGATGAAAGACTGATTCTGCTTAGAAGACATGGTTGCGTAATGACCTAATAGCAAAGTGCTGGGTACCACATCTTCAGCAGGACAAATTAAAAAATAATATTTAAAAAAAAAAAAATGTGATTAAGGGAATAGGTATCTTTTCTATGTGTCCAGATACTTAATTATACTAAAATATTTTTATGTTATTGTTATAAGAAAGCTTGATCTTATATTGCTGAAGAGACAGAAGCAACTACTTTGTTTACCTAAATTTCCCTTAAATACAGTCCAAATTAGAGCACACACGAAACCTGTCTAAAAAGTTAAGTCACTATAAAAGCAAATGAATGAGACTGAGAATAATAAGAGAGTGCTGCCTGAAACAAACAAATCCAACTCACACACCTTTATTTGTCATTAGAACAATAACCCCAATAGGTACTGTCTCTGAAGTGCTTTGCATGCTCTCAGCCACACCTGAACTCAGTTGACCAGGCACAGATGCGTTTCAGATACCGTGGCCTGACTCCTCTGCAAGTTTGAACATAGAAACTCTCCTTGCAATGCAGCACAGAAAACATTTGTCTTAAATGCTGATGGGTGGGACCAATTCCAGACGTGGCAAAGTCACTTGGTGGCTTTAGGTGAAGCTTTTGGAGAGTCAAAGAGAAGTCCTTTCTTGTTCCCTGGTGTGAAGCCATGCGGAGAGAAGCTTGCTGGGCTAGACAGGATTTTTTACCCTGGCAACTCATGAAAGAATAAGGCATGTGTCATCCAAATTATTAATATATAGTGAAAATAATTGTAAGCCTATTTAAATGTAAGGTCTTTTATATTGTGTGTAAGATCGTTGTGCTAAACCTCTTTAGCAATTAAGTAAAAAAAATCCAAGCCAGAAATAAAGAAAATGTTAGCAGCCATACTTCACTGTAATCCTTTCTCCTGTTGAAAGCGCAGCAGATGTTTGATTCCCATGTTTGCATCTTTGGAGACAGGCGTAAAAAATTGTGTTAGCAGGCAGGCAACCGTAAGTATTCACTGTTTAGATATTTAAGTATTCTCACCATCACAGATGAACAAAATGAAATGGGAAGATCACCTGGGCTGTAAACTTTTGTCCATCAAGGTTGCTCTGCACGGAGCAATGCAGGGGATCGGTGAAAGACAGGAAAGATCTCTAGCCCCCTTGCTAGAAAGGGACTGGGGATGGAGTGGGGGTCACTGGCTGCTTCCCTCCTGCCATCCGATGAGGTGAGGTGGCCTTTTGAGGAGACATAGGGAGGAAAGGGGGACCTTAACTCTGTCTGGTAGGTGATCTGATCCCCAGAAAGTGTATGGGAGTGTGCTACTGTCTCAGCCTGGGCACTTGCTGTGCAAAACTTAGCCCACGACCATCAAGCCACCAATTAGGGGCTCCTATCTTGCATGTGTTCGGGCAGGGATCCTGCTTCATGGACAACTGGAGACAATACGCTTTGTTTGGCATGGGCGGAAAAAGGATTTTGGTATGCTTCTGGTATGTCTCTTGAATGAGGAGAAGTGGACTGCTTGATTTTCATCAGGAACTCTCATGCCTTCATAGGCTTTGCTGGGAGATGAAATTATAAATAAAAAAAGCAGTGGCTTGTGGTTTTTCAGTGTCTTTCAAAACTGCTGAGCAGGTTTATACAGTTATCCAGAAAAGGTAAACAGAAAGTTACTGAATTACATTTACATGTAGACATCGAGATAAAGGCGTTACGATGAAAATCTTGCATTCACCGTCTTGTAAATGTTTGCAGCTGATGATGTGTATTCTCAGCAATTAGTGTTATATTGCATTTAAATGCTGGAGTAAGGAGACTCAGTCACAGAGCATGAGATCCAAAAAAAGTACACCCAGCCGCCGAAGCTACTAAAAAGAAGTCAGAACTGAAGTGGGGACAAATGTTGGTCATGATGATTCAGTCTTAACTGGTGGCAAGGGCTGGATGCAGCTGTGGGATGCACTGGGAAGCTGGGCTTGTTACCTGCCCGGAGTGTGGGAACACCAGGGGAGCATTTGCATAATGGAGCAAGCTAATATTAGGAGCGGCTGGGCTCCCAAACAGGATTTTACCAAGAGTTCCTTCGCTGTGGGAGGAAGACTCAACTGTCAGCTTAAAAA